GGACCTCACAGAGTTCTGATTCTCAGGAGAGAGTAGGAACAGGGCTGCTGAGAGATCCAGCATTACGGTAATACATTAGAGCCTCCATAGGACACCTCATACCAGAACAGAGGACAGAGCAAATTGATTCAACTATCCCAGCCAAGTGTGGGCAGTGAAAATCTGAGCAAGTGGAGACGCTAAGGTGGACTAAGCCAGACAGTAGATTCTGAAGAGATTTCATCATGCTTGGAATGGTGAAATTGGCAGCAATTCAGAACTGTTGAACTATCAAAACCACTTGAGCAGGATCCTCAGAGCATGCCCCACATCGGGGACTCTGGGATGGTTGGGAGCTCCACTTCCCAACCAGATCCCGGCTTGTGGCCCGGGAAAGCAGTCCAGGACGGCCCAAAGATTTGGGACCCTGCACCCGTGTGGAAGACCTGGAAGAAGCTCCTGGCTCTTGGCTTCAGATTGGCTCAGCTCCAGCCACTTAGGCCACTTGGGCAGTGAATCATCGGATGGAAGATCGTCCTCTCTGTCTCTCCTCCTCTCTGTATATCCGCCTTTCCAACAAAAATAAATAAATCTTTAAAAAATGAAAAGCTATACAGATGGCACTGCTTTCAATAAGTCCATGGGTGGCAAGGAGGCAGTTTCAGGCAGGACATATTCCTAAATAATTGGGCATCTTCCTGCTCTCTTCCACCCCCTGGGTATGCAATGTCCCCCTGAGAACTTCCTGGCTGGGATGTTGATTAGTCAGTAAACAAAAACCCACAAGTGAATCAAATCAGTATGAAACTGTGATTTCCAAAATGAGTAAAACTACTGGAACAGGCACTGTGGTTAATCCACTTTCACAGAAAGATTATTCCTCTGGCTACTCCGCTTTCAAAAAACTTCTGTCATTTCTTTTCTGATTATGTGTCTCTCCTCTTCAAGTTGCCACACTGGCTGCAGTAACTCTGGTGGGGTACTCTGTACAATTTACATCATGATGGGTACAGCTTGCTGGTACTATGTGCTCATTCTAAACAGTGAATCAACCTGTTCACCCTGGCACAGTGGAGGGCTATGGTAATGAATCACATCCCAGGTGGCTCCACTGTTCACATGCTCAGTAGCCATGAGTGCTAAACAATGCCTTTATCTAGTGCTACTACAGAACCCTGTCCCTCCCAAATACAGTGGACAGAGCTCTCTCCCCACCTAGTGCATGCCCTTGGGTCCATGTTTATGCTTTATGTATCCCAGTTACCCCAGCAACTCCTTACTCACTGAGACTTAGAAATGGGTCCTCCATGTCACACTTAACACTTACTACCTGCCACATATTCTACCCTAATTTCTTCTCTCTACTGAAGCCCAGCAGAGAGTTCAGGATTCCAGCTATTTCTGCAAAACGTGCACATTTGCAGTATTGTTGCTAACTTGCTGCGTTGCTCAGACCTGACGTTTCTGCACCCAACTCGGACCAGCAAGCAGCTCATAGATCATGTCCAAAGTAGCATTCCTGTGCTTACAGAGCCAAACTCATTCTCAGAAACCCAGCCAGCTTCTCTGTGAGCATCTATGGAACCTGCCTCCAACACACGGCATTAATGTGAGTCTTGGAGCTGGACATCAGTTACATTTTACTGGCTCCTCAAACCAGCAGTGACTGCCAATGCCAGTATCTGTCTTGGATACTGCCTGAGAGTCTTTGTGCTAGGTACATGCAGAGCAGCCACAAGACTGTCCCCAGTGTCTCCGAAGTTCTTCAAGCCACCTCTCCTTGAAGAACAGCAGGACCCCTGCATGGGTGATTTCACCGAACATACTGAGGCACAAGAATACCCTAGATGCCCACCATGGCCACCAACATCTACAGCCAGTAATGGCATAGGGAGACAATACTACAAATTCTAACTTAGAGCTAAAGCAGTCTATTAAGTAAATATCCAGAGGCACATCTCTGCGGAAAAGCCTTCGATTACATAAATCACTCTTTAAAAATGATAAAAAGAATTTTTGCAGATGTGCAACATCCATATAGAAACACAAGAAATATGAATAATCAAGCAGAAGAGCTCACTAAAATAAACACAATTAATGCAGTAATTTCAGACTTTAAAGGAAGGTAAATTGACAAGATATTAGAGAAATAATTCAAAAAGATTAAGTTATTTTTAAAACAAACAATACAATGCAGAAAAGCACTGAAATGAGTTAAGAAATCAGTCATGTGACATGGATTTGAGATTCAGAAAAAAGATACTGGAAAATTACAGTGGAAAGTCTCAAGAACAAAAATTAGAAACAGAAAAAAAATTATTTATGCTCTAAAAGACAGGTCCTTCAAAATCTGTCAATCAGGTTTTCTAGAAAGATAAATCAAAAAGAACAACGAAAGTGCCTGGGATTTCCAGAATATCTTCAAATGACTCAACATACCAGTCTTGGAAATCCCTGTAAGACTGATGGGTAAAGTAGTTCAGAAATCCCAGTCAATGAAATAACAGCTAAGGGGCAACGTGGTGGTTCAACTGGATAATTTCTCTCTCTGCAAGTACCACAGACCCATAACTACATCAGTCATATTCCGGCTGTTCCACTTCCAATCTAGCTAATTTGCTTAGGGCTGCAGAAAGCAGCAGGGATTGCCCAAGTCCTTGAGACCCTGCTCCATAGTGGCAGCCCCAAAAGAGGCTCCACGCTCATAGACAGGGATCTGCTCAGCTCCAGCCTTTGCCACCATCTGGGGAGTGAAATAGCAGATGGAAGATCTTTCTATGTCTCCTTCTGTTAGTAAATGCAACTTTCCTGGAGCAAAAGAAAGGGAAGAAAAGAAGGAGGGAGAGAGAGAAAGAAAGAAGCCAAAACCTTCCCCAATTTGAAGAAAGACATTGACATTCAAATGTAAAATCCCAAATAGACAGGTTCAGAAAATATCCTCACTATAAAACATGTATTTAAGCTTTCAAAAATAACAAAAGACATTGAGTATACATCCCTACTTCCTATTAAAAGGCAAACAGGGCTGGGCACGGTAGCCAAGCAGCTAAAGTTCTCACCTTGCACATGCCAAGATAGCATATGTGCACCATTTCTAATCCTGACAGCCCCGCTTCCCCTCCAGCTCCCTGCTTGTGACCTGGGAAAGCAGTGGATGACAGCCCAAAGCCTTTGGACCCTGGACCCACATGGGATACCCAGAAGAAGCTCCTGGCTTCAAATGGCTCATCTCTGGCCATTGTGATCACTTGCAGAGTAAATCAGCTGATGAAAGATCTTCCTGTGTCTCTCCTTTTCTCCGTATATCTGACTTTGCAATAAAAGATAAATAAATCTTTGGGGAAAAAAACGGAGGACTGCCAATGAAACAGTTAAAAATACCATAACAATAGGATGGATATTAGACTGTCCATACCTGCAATGCCATGACACACTGAAATAGCATAATAAAGTGCTTTATTACTGTGAGTATATGCTGGAAAAGGGTTTGAGAGAAAAACATAGAAGGGAAGGGGAAGGGAGAAATCACTATAATTATAAAACAATGGCAATAATAATAATAATAAAGTGAGGAGGAAAGTCACAAAAGGATAAAAAATGGAATATCCTAAAATTTTTAACGGAAGGCACGAGGTCACTATTCAAGGAATTCCCATCGAATTGACATCAGATTTCTCAACAGGAACAGGACAGCAGAGAAGGGAGAAAAGTAGTTCAAGTTCAAAAAAATAAACAGCTCCCAATCCAGAGTATTTTACACAGCAAAGCTCTCATTCATAAATGAAAGTGAAGACTTAACAAGCCAATCAAAAAATAAAACAATTCATCAGCACCAGACCTAGCCTTACAAATGATATTTATGAGTTTACAACATACAGAAACAAAAAAAAAAGACGATCAACAACAAAAAAGGTGTAGAAAACTCACTAGTAAAAACCAAAAGAATATTTAGAAAAAAAGAATAGAAATTTTTGTACCAAAGTGACATGACCAAGTCATTGTTTACCTTTCATAATCTGAATGTCAATGAAAGAAATTCCTACAATGAAATCATGCACATTGCCTATCGGAAACACTTCAGCAGTAAAGACACATACAGCATGAAGGTTAAAGGTCAGAAAACATATTCTATGCAAATTGAAACCAAAAATGAGCAAAGGCATCTCCATCGTATCAAATAAAATGTATTTCATGATAAAAACTGTGAAAAAGAAACAAAGAATATCTCTATGTAATGCTCAAGAAATCGACTCAACAACATTATATGACTAATGTAAATGTATAAGCATCTATTATTAATGACTCTAGTGGGAGACATAAGCTTCAACATGATAGTACTGGAGAACATTAACATTCTACCTTATCAATGGACACCTCAAGTACACACACACACAAAATCAAGAAATAAAGCTAGTGAGCACTCCAGACCAGATAAACTTAATGGACATCTACAGAATGTTCTATTACACAACTGCAGAACACACACTGTTTTCATCCGCACATGAAACCTATTGCAGGATGGGACCTACATGATGTCATAAAACAATTCTTAATAATTTCAAAAAATGAAATCATATCATGTATCTTTTCTAGCCACAATAGAATGAATGGAAGTTACTAACAAAATTCACTCTAGAAATTATATATAAATTTCAGGCTGAAAAACGTTTTCATATATGAACAGTGGATCATAGAATAATCAAAAGGAAAATTAAAAATTCCCCTTAAACTGATGAAAATGAAAGTACAATATATCAAAATTTGTATCAAAAACAAGCAGTGCTAGGAGGAAACCTGATAGCAATAAGTACCTAATAAAAAATGGAAAACTGTTCAACAACGTAGCAATGCATACCAGGGACCTAGAATAGCACAAACAAATCTAACCTCAAATGAGAGGCAAAACTTCATGAAAGACATTTTATTTATAAATTCCATGTATTTCACATTACAAATTTAGGAGCACATTGTTATTCGCTACTCTACTCTTGGTCACCTGTGTTTTCTCCCACCTTCTTCCTTCCTTATTATTATTTTTTTAATTTTTGTTTGTCAGCCTTATGCAGATACCATGATAATCTTCTCTGTCTCATTCCAAATTTAGTATGCAGCCTGCTGAAGCAAGCACTATTTTTTTTAATTTCTAAAATGACATATTTAATTCACAATTACAAGCTAAAAATCCTTTAGGTAAAGACTTTAACACGTAGCATGGAGAAAAGAGACCACTGTTACTCAGGAGTATAGAAAAGGCTGTAAACAATAATTAAATCTCAGGATGGCAATCTAGTTTATATGCATTACATCTTGTGTATTATTTACCACAGACTAGAGAAAACATAAAACACTTGTATTTATTTGTCTTTCAGGAACTGATTTACTTTACTAAGCATAATGTTTCCAGATACATTAATTTTGTTGCATAAGACAGAATTTCATTCTTTTTTTATATCTAAGCACTTTCCATAGCATACATAGACCATGTTTTCTTTATTCAGTCATCAGCTGATGGACATCTAGGTGAAGTGAGCTGTTATAAACATAGGAATACAGATGATTCTTCTATGTGCTGATTTCATATCTGTTGGGTAAATTCAAAGGAGTGGGTTGTCTGAGTAAGATGGCAAATCTATTTTCAGATTTATGAGGAATATTGATACTATCTTTCATAATGGTTGTGCTGGTTTATACACCTGCAAATGGTTTGTTGGTAAAAATGGAGCAGGAAAGGATTTCAGAAAAATTATTATGTATAGAATAAACAAAATGTTATTTCCTTTTGAATGTTTTCTATACTAATCTTAACTTTGTGTGATTTATCCTTTGAATGATATGATTCTAGAACATCACATTTTACTGTTGTATTTCAATTGCATATCTATTTCATTTTGTATCGATTAACTTTCACTGCTAACTTAGTGACATAAAACAAACACAATTCAATATTTCCCACATATTTATGTGTTCTTTTACAGTTGTGTTCTGGGATGATTTTACTGAGGGATTGATGATCCAGCTAGACCTCACTCGCATGCCACACTAGAATGCCGGATTAGCTTCAAACTTTCTATGCATTCTTTAATCTTCCTGGAAATTAGACAGTTTTTTCATTTGAACTTATCAGATTCCCAGCAATGACAAGGAATGAGTTCCAGGGAACAAGAACTTTCAAATTTTTGCTTGAGTTGTGTTTTCTACTGATGCATTTGCCCAAGCAAGTTCTATCGATAAGCTCTGATTCAATGGACGGATAAGTAACATCTACCACTGGAGAAAATCCATGGAGAAACATTGCAGAAAGGTGGAGACACAGGAACCTGAACACAATTTTAGCAATGTACCACATCGTCAGGTCCACCTTAACCATTATTGTCATCTTCCATTTGGGCACATTTTCTTGACCTTTCTTACTCTGGAACTTAGGAATCTGCCACAATCAAGCACTAACCAAAATGCTAGAGTAAGTGGAAATTGTCCCCTGAATAGGTAACTCCTGTAATTTTGCCTGGAATTTTCTTTTTTTTAAAGATTTATTTATCTTTACTATAAAGTCAGAAATACAAAGAGGAGGAGAGACAGAGAGGAAAGATCTTCCAACCGATGATTCACTTCCCAAGTGACCGCAATGGCCGGTGCTGCGCCAATCCAAAGCCAGGAGCCAAGAACCTCCTCCAGGTCTCCCATATGGGTTCAGGGTCCCAAGGCTTTGCGCCATCCTCGACTGCTTTCCCAGGCCACAAGCAGAGAGCTGGATGGGAAGAATGGCTGCCGGGATTAGAATCGACGCCCATATGGGATCCTAGAGCATTCAAGGCGAGGACTTTAGCTGCTAGGCCACTGCGCCAAGCCTGCCAATTATTTTCCATGAGGATGCAAGTCTATTGCCTTCTCCAGCATCTTTTTATATATGTGATCTTCATCATCTACCAGGCAGGCAAGTGAGTTAACAATGAAATTCCTTGATTGTTTGCTGCCAAGTAATCCAAATTTCTTTAATTCATTTACCTACTCAAATTAATCAATCCTGAAATTTCCTGCTTTGAGGACTTAATTCTTCACATGTATGTAATTTCCAGCATATTTTGATGATGTAATACTGGTAAGCACATACAGCAGTCAATTCAGCATTTTGTAGCATATTAACTTTATCGTACTGGGTTCCATTATTGATTTTAATTATATAATTTTTCCTTTTTCTTCCCATTTGTATGGTCTATATACATTACTTACAGTTGCTTCAGATTGGTCATTCTTTCTGGGAGAAAAATCCACAAGGGATGCTCAGAACAGGTGCATGGTACTTGACCAGCTTCATCATTTTATGCTAGTTTGACCAATGGCACTTGATGTTGGAGCACCAGCCTACAGATGTATGTGCAAGAATTGGAAAATTGCCTCTCTTGGACTACAAGAATTAATGGATTTTTTAAAAACACACTTTTGCTCTTGTGTGAGAATTTTTTTTCAGTCAATGTGAAACCACAGGGTAGTAAACTTGAAAACATTGCTAGCGTTAAAACTTTCCAAGGAGTAGGAGAGAAATCAGGGTCCTTCAGCCCTAATATTACCATAATGTTGGTCATATTACTCTGTCAACGAAAGAGCAAGGAATGGAATTGTTATTGTCCTGAAAAGCCTGCAATAACAAATCTTTATGCCCTTAAAGAGGCACTTAGAGGAACTGGAGAACATCCAGAGAAAAGCAATTAGGGAAAAAAATTAATGCTAGGAGTTTTCAGAGGAGTTAAGGCTACTTAACCTAGAGGGGAAAATAAGTCTGAGAGGGTTCTACATTAATGAATTTAAATTATAAAGTATGTGTTCTGCAGCTGGTCTCCAACTCTACAGAGCTCTGAACAAGAGAAAAAATAATTTTGACAGGCCACATGGGCTTTATCAGTGAAATGTAACTCCCCACAATCTTGACTCTAAAGATGCATCAAAATCTTGACTCTAAGTATGCATCAAACAATTCAAAAAATCAATTTTCAGTCCTGTGGCACATAATTCTGCTCCAATGATGAAACCTGGACTCTATTTCTTCATTTATTGATGAAAATTGCTTAGCCTGTCTTACATGTGTTAGAACACAAAGAAGTATACTCCTTTTCCCTGGCTTCCCCTTAATCTAGGTCATCTTCTTCACCTCAGCTCTTTGCTTGCACCCACTGGTTTGTGATCACATACAGGTAAAGCATTTCTGTGAGTTTCGAGTAAAACAGTTTCAGGAGCATGTGCCTGGATATTCCAATAAAAGTATTCAAATAAGTATTTGGCCTATGGGCGTATTAGAATTTATGATCCTAAGAAAAAAAATACAGAGTCTTTGTTTTCTTCTTCCTGAAATGCTAAACAGCATAATTATACTGCCTTGTGTCTTTGTTAGCTTAATCTAATTAATTTGAAACCATGGACTTTTGAAAATGAAACAAAACGTCAATTCCTTGTCCAGAAAGGTGGTTTATAATTCAGAACAGATCTTACAGTTGGTGCTGGTTAGTAGGAAAGTTGAGTGACAGTTTGAGTAAACTTTGGTGTATCCATCACTTCTCCTTTAGCCTGAGTTTCTAAGGAATGAAAATACAGACTATAAGAATGCTATTCAAAAATTTTTAGGTTATAAGAAGGTCACAACTCTGAAAACATGTCATATCTTGTTTTGTGTTGTATGTATGCATAAAAAACCTTCTAATTTCCAATGAATGCACTCCATAGAAAAATACTTGAATCCAGATATAAACTAAAGGAAGATATTTGAAAATATTCCAGGCCAGGACTTATTTTACTATGAAAAATTTTATCCCTCTTTCACCAACTCTATGGAAACTTGATATGATTAACATATTACTATATAACATGGAATCATGGGTTAATGAAAATATGTCTTTGATTGTTTTCAATTTATTCTTCAGTAGTATCAAAAAATATACATGCTTTGGGGAAAGAAATATTAACATATTTATTTAAAACAGGTAACAAATTTTATTATTATTTGAAAATCAAGGCAGATAACTATTTTTATTAAACTTATGTTTATAAAATTTCTTTCAAGTGATCATAAGAAATAATACGGTCAATATTATTTGAGAATGTGAACACGACGGAGGGACAGTCCTTGCCCCCAGGTAACTTGCAATCGGACAGAAGAGATACAAACATTCCAAAATCAAAACTTCACTACACAAACAAGAGTTTAATTAAAAGCTGTGTATTTGAATACAACATTGCAAATGGCTAAAGCAGACTTACAGGGAAAAATAAATGTCAGAAGAAGGAGACTACAACACTTCACAAAATGCAAATTTGATGGTCATTTGTATGTCCAGGCCAACTGGGTCCAGGTAACTCAGCAATGTTTTCCTAGGATTGGCTTAATTCTCAAGCAGGCTTTATAATGTGGAACAAAACGACCATTACTAATCATCACTCTCATTCTAGAATATTATAAACCTCAGAGATAAGCAACAAGACTATACTGGTGGCATTAATGCATATATCCAATTAAAAAGTATTCACTGTATGTTAAGTATTGAACATTTCTCCAGCTATAAAGTATACTTCAGAGACTAGACAAAGCTGTATCCCAGTGATGAAAACATACACTAAACAGAGAAAATTTAGTGTGTTTATGATAAGAACTAGAAAGAAAACTACAGCAGAGTAAGGCATAGAAAGTGACTCACCAGTCCAGATTCTGTCAGTTATCTATCTTTAAAGTGTTTGGTGGAGCAGCATGCATAGAAATGCCATAATAGTTCTCATCCTGGAAAAGACTATAGAATAAACATCTCTCCCAAGAATAACTCAGATATTCTTATCATAAGAATCCTTGCTTTTCAATTGACAAAACTAAGAGAAATACACTGGGCTATGGAAGGCAGTGTAAAATTTCCTAAGAGGCGTAAGAGTTTTGGTAGGTTAACGAAAGTTATGATCCTATTTTGAATACTGTATGTAAACTAGGCCATGTCACATGGCTAGTATTCGAGACAAATATTTGGGAAGGACAAAGTGTGAGGGTAAGGATACATTAATCAAAACACTTTTGTGTTTTTATGGCTGTGTATGCAGTAGCAGTTATCACAAAACAACAGTTAAGATGTAGTAACATACAGAAAGGATTTGA